CGCCGATCCTATTCGTACTAAAGAAGGATAGTAGTCTAAGACTCTATATCGATTATAGAGGGCTAAACGAGATTACTATTAAAAATCGTTACCCCCTACCTCTTATTAGCAAAACGCTTAATAGGCTTAAGGACGCCGAATAGTATACGTCCTTAGACCTATAGGATACGTATTATCGTATCTATATTAAGCGAGGCGACGAGTAGAAGACTATATTCCGTACGCGGTACGGGCACTTCGAGTATAAGGTAATACCTTTTAGGCTTACTAATGCTCCTACTACGTTCCAAGGATATATTAATAGGGCATTAGCTAGCCTTATTAACATTTGCTATATCGTCTACCTTAACGATATTCTTATCTATAGCAAAACGCGAGAGGACTATATACGAAACGTACGCGCTATCCTTACGCGGCTCTAGAAGTTCGCCTTATATACGAATAGAAAGAAATATTCCTTCTAGAAGAAAGAAGTCGAATTCCTCGGGCTTATCGTTAGTACCGAAGGCGTATCGATAGATTAGCGTAGGGTAAACGCTATTACCGAATAGCCTCGCCTATTAACGCTAAAGGAGGTTTAATCCTTCCTTAGATTCTATAACTTCTATCGGAGGTTTATCCCTAACTACTCCTAGATTGTTATACTACTAACCGCCTTATCGAAAGGAGCCGTAAATAGCCGAAAGCTAGGGTAGGTCCTATAGGGCGAAAGCGAGGAGCAAGCGTTCCGCTAGCTAAAGGCTGCCTTTAGCTCGGCCTCGATATTATAATACTATAATCCTACGAAGCCCCTACGTATCGAAACTAATGCCTCTACGTTCGCCTTAGTAGGGATTATATTACAACAAAGTAAAGATAGGAACTAGTACCCTATAGCCTTCTAGTTACGAAAAATAATCCCTATAGAGATTAACTATAAGACCTATAACTAGGAGCTCCTAGCGGTTGTCGAGTCCTTTAAGTATTAGCGCCCGTATCTCGATAGCGCCTAGTATACGATCTATATAGTTGTCGACTACGCTAATCTTAAGGGCTTTATAAAGATAAAGTAGCTTATTAGAAGGTAGGTAAGATAGGCGACCTTCTTTATACCTTTTAACTTTACTATTAAATATCGGGCTAGTAAATGAAATCTAGCCGATATACCTTCGCGACGTAGCGACTACGAGAGCGAGTCGTAGGCGGCGAACAACCTTCTTCCTATATTATAGTCGAAACTAGCTCTATAGTTAAATCTGCCCGAGGATATCGAGCTAATTATAAAACGCATCTCTATTATATATATAGGGATGCGAGACGCTAGTATAGCGCTAGCGGAATATAAGAGTTTTATTAGCAGTCCCGTAAGAGTAGCGGCTACTATCGTTAGGAATAACGGGCCCTACTATAAGACGCCTAATATAATCCTTAGTTTCGTACGTACTTTATAATAGCTAGAGTAAGCGAGAGGAGGAGGCTTATACGAGATAAGCTTACCGTCGGGTAGCTTAGCCTTATTAAGTAGCTCTAACCTCCCGCCTAGCTATTCTCGTCGTAGTAACCTTATTTATTACGGCGATGCGCTATATATCCCTAAGGACTACGTATTACGTACGTAACTAATACGTATACACTACGACGACCCTTTAGCTAGATACTTTAGTATAGCTAAGACTATAGACCTAATACGCCGAAAGTACTTCTAGCCGAAGATAGCCGAGGATATTACGGCCTATATCCGTACCTATAGAATTTGTTAATAGTTAAAGGCGAAGCGCTATCGCCTATACGGCGAGCTCGCTACTCTATCTATACCGACCCGACCTTAGCAAGAATTAACGATAGACTTTATTACCGATCTCCCGCTAAGCAAGCTCGGTACCTACGTATATACTACGATCCTCGTAATAGTCGACTACTATACGAAGATAAGCCTCTTTATCCTAACGACGAAGAAGTATATAGTAGTAGAACTCGCAGATATCTTTTAAAGGGAGGTAATTAGGCGTTTTAGAGTACTATTAGGCATTATTAGCGATTATAGATCGCTTTTTACTAGCTAGTTTTAGAGCGACTTCTGCTTCGAAGCGTATATAAAGCGTAGGCTTAGTATAGCCTTCTATCCTTAGACTAATAGGCAAACCGAACGCGCGAACTAGATCCTCGAGTAATACCTACGATACTATTACTCTAAGAACTAGGATATTTAGGCTAAATTGTTGCCTTAGGCAGAGTTTACCTATAATAACAGCGTTTATCCTACGTTGTGTATAAGCCCCTTTAAGATGCTCTACGGCTTTAACCCTAATTTAATACTAAGCGCAAATAAGCTACTAGCTCGGGACGAGCTAACTAAGGGAAGGGTACTAGTAGCTATCGACGCTATAGAGCGACTATAGAAAGTATATAAGACGCTTACGGAACGCTAGTAGAAAGTAGTAGAATACTAGGCTAAGTAATATAATATATACTATACTACTAAGACATATAGTATAGGCGACCTAGTCTTGCTATCGATAAAGAATATTAGCTTAGATGTCCTAAAGAAGAAACTTAGCCCGAAGTATATAAGGCCTTTTTATATTATCGACGTAGTCGGAGTATAGACGTACCGCCTAGCACTACCGTTAAGTACGAAGATCTATAATGTTTTCTATATTTCCCTCCTCGAGCCTTAGTATAGGCGCGATAGCGAGGAATATAAGGTAAGTATACCTATCGCTAAAGGTAACGAATAGTAGGTAGAAACAATCGTAGCGAAGAAAATAAGGAAGCGGAAGGCGTACTACCTTATTAAGTAGCGAGATTAGCCTAAAGAATACAACACTTAGGAGCTAGCTATTTATATTAAAAATTCTATAGCGTTAGACGAGTTCGAAGCTTAAGCGAAGCGTAAGCGTAGGTAGTAATTAAAATAAAAGAAAATAAAACTTAAGAAAAATAGTAGATACGTGCTCGTTTCGCTACTAAAAAAGGCCTATTAGCCTAGTATATATAAAGGTAGCGCCGCGTAGGCGCGGCGATAGCGAGCCGTCTACTCTACTTATCCTTAGACTCCTCCTCCTCCTCGTCCTCCGCTTCGATACCTATAGTAGTATCGATAGTAGCGACGGCCTTAGCGCCGACACGCTAGGCGAGGTTCTAGTATAGTTAGTATACGAAGCGTAGGTAAGACGAGGCTATAGGAAAACTATACCTAACGACCGATCTCTACTAAGCCGGCTAAGTTAGTACCGATATTCTTAAGGGCACTAAGTAGGTTAATATCCGTAAGAGACCCGCTAGCGGCCCCCTTATAGGCTAGGGCTTTGCTACCTAGGGTTACCTTATTCTTATTAATATAGAAGGCGTCGAGCGTAGATAGGATAACTAGTAACGAGGTTAGTATACGAAGCGTAAGTAGAGCGTATAAGAAACCTACGTACGACGACGGCGTCTAGATTAGCCTAGAGTGCCTCTAAGGCCTCGTTAGACTCCTCGAGGGAGTCGTAGCTGTCTAGGTCGTATAGGTCGCGCGTAGAGCGTACGGCGCGGATACGGGCTAGTAGCGATACTAGCGCGCGTACCGTAATAGGAGTATAGGTATAATAGCTACTACGGTAGCGATTATAGTTACGCTTAGTAGCAGGGTCTATATTGCCGCCTATATAGAGCTTAGATAGGTTATCTAAAGCGAGTTAGTTACAAAGCGTATATACGTAGCAAGGGGCGAGAAAACGTACTATTAGCCGTTATATACCTAAAGCAACGAGTACAGCCCTCTAGGACTTTTAGTAGGCGCTAGGTAGGCGTAGTAGATATCGTAGAGGCGGCGCCTACGGCGCGCTTACTAGAGGCACGCGAAGGAGTAGATATACTAGTAATGTTTCTTTAATAGATATTCGAAAAAGAAAAATCTTTAAGTAATACTAGAGGGGCGTAAGGGGGAAGTAGGTAGGGGGTAGGCGGATAGTATTCGGAGCGCTTAGAAAAAGAAGAAGTTTTTAAGCGGGCTTCGAATGCTTTAAATACTCGCCTCGCTTTCGGATAGCTTGCGTTCTCGCGTAGCTACCGCGTTCTTAGAAATTTAGGCAACCTCTAGTTAGTACTAGAAGTAGCCGCACTTTAAATCTATAAACAAGCAAGCAACTACGAAGCAAATTATAACGTACCTAGCAACTATAGCCTAGCGATAGGTACGTATAAGACGCGCAAGTATAGCGTAGAGTATAAGAAATAGTATAATTTACTATATTACCCTATAGCTAGAATAGCTATACCGGGGGAAGGAGATAATTATAAGAACCTAATTAAGTAAAGTCTTCTATCCTGCCTTAGCAAGCCTATATAACAATTATATAATATTATTATATATACTGCGGTGCTGTCTCGCTAGCGCAAAGCCTGCTTAGCGTATACGCGGAAAAGCTCGGTCGCTCGTACGGATATACTCGGTTGCCGGCTCGGTATATATACTATCTATACGTAGCCTAGTTAATAGTAAACGCTCTGCCCTATTCTAAGAAAGGTACGGTTTAGTTCTACTATCTACTACTACGATTAGTAGAGGGTGTTCTATACGTTGCTATATACCTATTTTCTTATAGTAGGCTTAGCAATTTAATCTAATTTAATCTCGCCTAGTCCTACTAACTAAGCAATCTAATTTACTAGCAATCTAATCTAGCCCCTATTAAAGCAATCTAATTTAATCTAATCTAGGGGTCCTAGTAATCTAATTTAATTTAGGGGGGTCTAGATTAATTAGATTAATTGTAGACTATACTAGACTAATAATAGTACTATAGGTTATAAAAATTTTAGAAAAAAAAAGTAAAAATAATTTTTTTTTTAAAAACGAATAGCTAGCTAATAGTTCTTATTATATAGACAGATTTTACCGTTGTTGTTATTAATAATAGGAATTCGTAGTTAATAATACTTTCTTTTTCCCTCCTCTCTTTTTCTTTATAAACGTTTCCTTTTCTTTCTTTCTAAATGCGCGGTTAAGTAAGAAAGAACTAAGAAGAAGGAGATCGACTAGTCAGCAGTATCGAATCGAGTCGATCGATCGAATGTTTGTTTAACAGGTATCTGCCTAATCATAAATCATAGTTTTGGATCGTGAGCCCAACGACCTAATAATGAAGATCGATGCCTCCTCCGACTGAACTGAAGTCATCATCATCACCCAGTCAGCCAATCGCCCAATCCAAAGCCCTTTCTATGCCCTAGCACCTCGTGGCCTATAACTACCAGCCGCAGCCGCAACAGGCGTGAAAGAATCTTCAACATGGATATCACGCGAACTAAGACCAACTTGAACACCGATCGATCCTGGGGCAATCGTCCATTGCTGTGTGTTGCTATAAATTTTACGTCGTCAGTACAGTGCCGTACAAGAAAGAAAGAACAAAAGAAACTTACATATCCCAATAAGAAAGATCTCGTCGTGTAAGAGGGAAAGTAACTTCCTTCGTCTGACCAGGTTCGAGGAAAACTTTATCGAAACCTCGGAGTTGTTTCACAGGGTTGACGTCTTGGTCAGAGATTTGTGGGAGGGAGAGGTAGAGCTGTGGGACGGTCGCTCCGGCGACGGAACCGGTGTTTTTGACGGGTGCTGTAATGGTGTAGAGAGTCTTCCAGATCGCTGGGTTGCCTCCAGGTACGATCTTCTCTTCGGATGGGAGGGCGGAGATTTCGCCGTGGGTGGATTTTCTGATCTCGAGGTCGCCGATGCTGAAAGTTGTGTATGAGAGACCGAAACCGAATTCGTATTGCACGGATTGGTTGTAGTAGTCGAAGTGGCGGTAGTCGATCAGGAGACGCTCGACGAAGTCGTCTTGCCATGCGTTGGGGTCTTCGGTTTCGATGAGCTCGGTGGAGTTGACGATTGGGACGAAGTCGTAGTCTTCTTCCTTCTCGGCGATTGTGTAGGGGAGCTTTCCTGATGGGTTGACTTCTCCCCAGAGGATGTCGACGATGCTGTTTCCGACCTCTTGTCCGCTGAGGTGAGCTGCGATGATGGCAGTGACGTTGGGGTGGTCAGCGAAAGGAAGGACGTTCAGGCCTGCGGAGTGGGTGATGACGATGGTGTTGGCGCAGTTAGCGGCCACAGTCTCGACAACGCCGGTGCCATTGAAGTCCACCAACAAACTAGATCGGTCGTAACCTTCCGAAGCCCAAGTCTTGAGGAACACAAGGCAGACGTCTGGTGGAGTTGGCAGGACAATCGAGCTAGGTCATTTGTCAGACAATGTCTCGCAAGCAAGAATTGGAAAGGGAAAACTTACAAGCCATTGTCGTGGGTGATTTGGGTGTTGTTAAGAACGTACTGCACGAGAGCATCTGGTCCAGCCTTGGCCTTGATAGCCTCGAGCGGCGAAACGACATAGGTCAAGCGACCAGTTCCAGATCCACCAGCGGCTGGGAGCACACCGTACTCAAATCCTTCCTCGGTGAGCAGGTTGACGAAGTAGAGGCCCTGGGTGAGATCGCCGGCGTCGTTACCGAACACGCCAATGTTCTTGGGGTTCTTCAACGGAAGTGCGTTGTTGGTGTTCTTCAGCAGGACAGTTCCGGCAGAGCCAATTTCACGAATGAGCTTGGCGTGGTCATCGCGGACATCAACCACATCATCTCCGTAGGTGAAGTTGTAGCGATACGTGCTCTCCGCCCATGTGCGTTGAGTCGAAGGGGTGGATGGGTCGACAGCTGGGAAGTCGTCCTGTCCGAGCCAGAAGTATGGAGTCATAATACGGTGGGCCATGTCGTCCAGACGAGAGATGTCGAGACTACCATTGTTGACGCTAGTGGTCAGGTTGGCACCCCAAAGTGATGGTACAGACTGCTCGAACGAAAGGCCTCCTGGCATGTTCATGTCGAGACCAGCGTCCGCGGCGTGGTATCCAGCATGAGTCGCCATCCAGTCAGAAACGACCCATCCCTCGAACCCAAGCTCATCCTTGAGCACGCCGTTCAAAAGCTTGCTGTTTTGGCAGCCATAAGAAGCATTGATTCGATTGTACGAGCACATGATCGACGAAACGCCGGCCTTGACGGCATCTTGGAAAGGCCACAAGTAGAGCTCGTGCAGAGTTCGGTCGTCGATGTTCGCGGAAATGGCCTCGATGGTCTGATTGTTCGCACTTGTGCTTGGGTTACGTTGGATCTCTTGTTCGTTGCCGATGTAGTGCTTGGCACAGGCCTGGACACCAACATCTTGGTGACCCTTGATCGTGTCCTCCATGAGTACACCTGTCAGGTACGGGTCTGGAGAGAATCCCTTTACAACGTTTCAGCTTTGTTCATCATCAGAGTCCATACCAATTGACTTACCTCCCAGTTTCGACCACCCAAACCACTTCTGCCCAAAGGACCAGACACCGGGCCAAGAATGACGTGCGAGCCTTTGCCTTTGTACTCTTCCGCGATTGCCCTTCCTCTCAGATACGTAAGCGATCTGTCCCATGCAGCGGCAACAGTCAAGCCAGCTGGAAAGACTGAGGCATAGGTCGCTTGTCTGATGGCCAGGGGTCCATCTTGCAAGCAAAGACCCGTGAAGTTCAGGCGAGGAATGGGTGCGATGTTGCTGATACCGAGTTAGAACTCATCTTCAATATTCTCTACAATCTTACCCAACACAAGGCCCTTCAGTTCCTGTAACCAAAAGCGCCTTTTCGTCAGTGGTGAGCTGAGCGACCCAGTCCTTTGCCTTCTCTAACGCAGCCTCCCATCCGCCAGCTCCTGTGATGTTTGGCGATGGGTATACTGGCGGACTAGTAGTGTAGTCTTCATGGTTCCAAGCTGGTCCTGGTTGGCTGGAGTCGGTCTGACCTTGAACAGTTGCGATGGAAGCGAGGACTGCTGCTGCAATAGACAGCTTCTCTGTCGAACGACGCATGACTGCTTGCTGTCAACAAGTCCAACAAGCAAACTCACGACTACTCGGCGGGGTTGAAGACAGGACTGCTCTGGTTTTATGTAGGCATTTGCGGCCCAGTGTCGGTCATTACTCTGGTCTCTGGTGTCGGCAAACGCTACCCAGCTTCAAATCGCACGATGCAACGATGAGACTCCATCCATAGCCGCGTTTTCCTGGCACATTGGCGACGTTTCTCGAAGAATTTCTTGGAGCTGCGGGGAGCCCAGTGGCACGATGAAGCCGACCTGCATGGTACCTGTCGGTGATGGTGCGGTATGAGGCAAGCGGCTCTGAGATAGCTTCTTGGCGATGGGCCACGGGAGGAGAAACAGTAACAAGCGATGGATGCCAAGAAGTGGTGAGCACGCTTCGGCAGCATTGGCCGAGTGGTTCTCAGAGGCACTTCGCGTAGAGGCATTGGCTTCCCACTGCTAGATGCCATATATCTGACCTCCCCTTCTTTTGACCTTCATCCGCGAATGGTTGGGTGCGGTGGTGCGGAAAAGATGGTAGTTCCGTGAAGCTGGCGTCGGTTCCCGTAGAGTCGCATGATGTCAAGATCACGCAGCAGAGCTCGTGGTTGTCTCGCCCTTGCCTTCCTCGTGGCAAGTGCACTAAGAAATAGTGTTGTGGGTTTACAGCCCGTGAGAAATGGAGGTTGTATACATCGTATATTATACTGGTATACACCCATGGATACACATCGGGTATGCCCGAATACCAGGATATCCGAGCATTATTAAGCAGCTTGGCGGGTTGTAGGCGGGATATCAGCGTATCCGATAACTCCGCCTTGTGTATATACAACGAGCTCGCCTAAAAGGGTCGTATACATAGTGTATTACAGAGCGTGTACACCATCCACAGGTTTGTGGACCCCATCACTACTAAGAAAACATGGTCTCTCCAGACTCCAGCGCATTTCTCCAGACTCCACAGTCAATGGCCGGGGCCGGAGTTCCGCCATCAATAGTTCGGAGCTTCGCGTGTCGCTGGAAAGTGGCCCGGAACGCGATTTTTATGAGTGGTTAGCATGTTCCGAATGGCGCCGCCGTCCTTGGAATGAGGAGCATTTGCCGGCATTTCCCGCAATGAGGCCGAGATCCACTTCAACCCCGAGTCGAGCCTCGTGCTCAATGAAGGCGGATGCCAGGCCCGACAATCCTGGTGGCGCTGGTGGTCGACCGCTTGGCACCGCGAGGCATCTTGACACGCTTGCGAGACGTCATATTGTGCGCGGTGGTCATGGTGTCACCACTGAGAAAAAAGTAGAAGTGCCTTCCAGCTTCCGCTCCGCATCTGCCAAGCAAGGGAAGAGCCGTAACCTTCCATGCATCCAACAAAACACCATCACGCTGCCCTACACTTTTCCGCCATCTACCGCCATCCACTCTCGTTACTTCCTTTCGCTCCTAGAATTCGTACCAGAAGCGTTGCGCGTCCCACCGAGCCTGTCGATAGTGCTCCGACTCACGACGGCGCTTCGTCGACCGCTACCAACACGCCAGAATGCCAACATGAAGTAAATTGGCGAAAACCGTGCCTCACGGTCCGCCCATGCAGGACTTCCTGGGCTTGCGGAGACCGACGCATGCGAGCTGAGATATGATGACTAGCATGACTACGCAAGACACGTGCCGCCAAGATCTTGCTTCTACGCAATGCCTCGCATCACTCCAACAGGTGCGAGTGGAGGGCTCAATTGCTGTAGATGACAGCTCCACGTTAAAGCTGTGAACACACGTCATGCAAGGCGTCCAAGGTTGAGCACCGTCGTCCACACTTGCAAACCGCCATACATCAGGCAGTGTGAGTTGTGAGTGTGACACGGGACGCATCAGTCAGCTTTTGTCTTCTGCTTGCGCCTTACCAATGCACACTCAAGTTCCGTGGCGCTCTGGTGAAAGCTTGAATCAAAATTCGCCATTCAGCTGAACAACCCTACTCGACCTAAAGCTCGGCACGGGAGCTTCAAGTTTATACTTGACATCCGGCGCTCTCCACTGAAGGAAGGATTGTGCGTCCAAGGTCAGATCGAGCTGAACCACCTGGCTTTAAGTTGGTCTCACCTTTTCAATCCGTCTGCGCGCTCGATATTGTCTTCTCAAGCCATTCGCCAGGTCGACGCATTTCAAAGTTGTTCACTCTGCTCTCTGATAATATTTCTGAACTTTGAACTTTCTCCCCAAGAGCTGGAAAGCATATTCATCAAGTTGTCCAGCATGAATAGATCAATCTTCATCACTGGACCCGACCCAAAACTAGAATTGGTCTACAGCGATGTCTGGCTTCCAGGACTCTACTCTCGACGGGTCATGGTCTTCGAACTACCCTCCACCTCAAGTCACGAGAAGGTCATCGATGTAGTAACAAGGGCGTTGAAAGCCCTTGTACAGGGCACACCTGAACTTGGCGCCGATTCGGTAGTGGTCCCAAATGCGTCACCATACGATCCGAAGCTGCCCTGGAGAGCACTTGCTCAGGGAAAGGGCATAGAGCTTGTAATCAAAGATCTGTCAAAGGAAATCCCAAGCTACAAGGATTTGGAGGCCGCAAAGTTTCCACTGTCAGCGTTCAGAGATGATCTTCTCATGCCCATTCCGGGATCGATCATGCCAGAACCTCAACCAGTAGCGAAGTTCCAGCTCAGCTTCATCGAAGGTGGTGTGCTCCTCAGTGTTTGCATATACCACCACCTGACCGATGGGAACGGTATGAACACGATCACGAAAGCGCTCGGCGAGCTGTGCAAGCAAGCAAGCGAGCAATCTGGAGATCTCCCACCTCGCGCAATGGATACCGATCGAACCATCTTCAAGAATCTGAACGGAGGACTTACAGATATCAAACATCACCCAGCATACAACATCGACAATACCGGTGCCTTCATCCCAGGCGCCCACCACGACGAATCACCTCCTGAAACAAACACCAAAGAATCCCCAGCGTTCACACCACACTACTACCACCTCACCCCCTCCAAAGCCCTCGCCCTAAAATCCCACGCAAGCAGACACACCCCCGTCTCAACCCACGACGCAATCTCCGCATCTATCTGGCGCAACCTCATCCAAACCCGTGTCCAAACCGGCGAACTCACCGACCTCAACCAACTCTCAACCTACACAATCCCCCACAACGCCCGAAAACACCTCAACCTCCCCTCCACCTTTGTCGGAAACTGCACCTACTTCATAATCGCGCAAGCCAAAATCTCAGAAATATTGGAAAATGAAGAAGATAGCATCCCATTTCTTGCCAGGAAGATCCGCGAAGCTCTCCACAAAGTTGATCGGGAGGTTGTGGAGGGGATGTTCACACTCCGCCAACAACATACTTACGATCTAAGCTGGTGGCCCATCCTGCAAGCCCACAACCCCGAAATCGTAGGATTCACATCTTTCTACCATTCCGAATTACTCGGTGATCACTGGGGCAGTGTAATGGGAGGAGAAGTGAAACATTTCTCTTCGACTGATTCGGGAGCTTTTGGAAGGATGTTTCCACGGGCGCATTTTGTAGGGCCGAAGATTTTTGGGGAAGGAGGAGGAGGAGGAGGAGGGGGAGGGTGTGATGTGTATATTGGGATTGCGAGGGAGGAAGGGGAGTTTTTCAGAAATAACAAGGGATGGGGGAGGTTTTTTAAGTTAAGAGGGGAGTAATAGCCTAATAGGAAGGGGAGGAGTAAGAGTACGTTTACCTCGCTACTAATAAATCGGTAGAATAGCGATACCTTAGGGCATACTACTAGTATTTATTATTCTTTTTAACCGCTTTTTAAAGCAAGCAAATTAGTAGATAACTCGGCAGATTAGAAAGACCGTATATCGGTAGTACCCGCCTTAGTAATACGCGCGCACTTCGTATATCTAGCCTTATAGATAGGTTATTACTATAGAAGTCTACTATAATACTAGCTAGACGAAAGGCCGCTATAGAGAAGATACCTACTAGGAAGGCGAAGAAGTTAAAGCTAGCGAAAGAGGATACTAGTAAGGATATAGGCTATAAGTTTCTAGAGGTTATACGCTAGTAGGAAGAATAGAAAGTATACTTCTTAAATAAGGTAAAGAAACTAAAGGATAAGTAGTTATTAAACTTAAAACTGTAGTAGTAGTCTCTACGTCTAACTCTACTACTATAGAATAGCTATATAAATAAATATAACCTTTAAGCGATATTTTAACCTAGAAGGACTAAAGGCTTAGTAGCGCGCGTTTAAAGAGAAATATTATAATCCTTATACTACTTACTTAAAGTATATAAGCGGTTAGAATAGCTATTTAGTAAAGCTAGGTAATAAGAAAGTTACTAATAAGTAATTTAAAGTATCTAGAGTAGAAGTAACAGTACGACGAGTATTTAGAGTTTACTATAAGCGAGCTTTTTAAGGTTATTAGGTTAAATATTACGAGCGGCTACGAGGCTAGTACTAGCAATAATTTAGCGACGCGGATATAGATAATAAGGATAATAAGAAGAATAGTAAAAGTAAGAGTAGGGAAGAGATAGAGTTAGACGAGTTACTACTATTTAATAGTATAATAGTAGAAGAACGAGACTTGCTTATAAAGGCAGATATTAGTAGTATTAAACTACTATACTAGTACTAGCGCGCCCGTTTACTAGTATTATATAGCGATAAAAGATTAAAAGTATTCGCGCCTACTAGTAAAGGACGGAAACTAATACTACTACTACTACTAGTAGTAATAGTATAATTAAAGTAACCGAGGGTAATATAACCTATTGTAAGGGAATACCCTTCTATACCGCCGAGACCCTTGCTAGGCACCTACAAGGCACCCTAGAGGTGCCTCGCCGGTAACCCCGAGTTACCTAACTCTTAGTACTATAGGATAAGGCACCTATTCCTACCTCGAGAATTGCTCGTTTCTTAGGCGATATCGTTAAATGCTAAGACTACTGTTCACTCGTGTTAATACTCCCTACATACTACTTCCTTATAGAATATCGCCTCCGAATCCTCCTTAGGAGTATAGCCGTACTAAGTATAACCTCTAAGTAGTAGTACCTACGTCGTCGGTACCTACTAGGCCTCTTCGAAGTGCCTCTAAGCTACCCGAAAGCACCTCTAACTAGCGTACCTACTCCTAACGTAGTACTACCTACTTATTAGTACTATACCTCCTAAAGGAAGCAGTAGGGCCGCCGGCGGAACCGGTATATCGTTATCTAAGGGAAAAGGTCCTAATATTAACCCTCTAGTAGAAGAACAAACATTCCCTACCGGACCTAGAGACTAACTTTAGGACGATAACGAAGAAGATAACGATACTACTCCGGACGATACTACAAGTACCTTAAAGGGACCTCGTAGCTCCCGTATAAGTAGCCGTACGGAATCCGGTCCTAAAGAAGAGGATTAGGACCTAAACTCTTAGGCTAATACCTAGTAGACGGCAAAGAACAATATTAATCGAGTTTCTCGACTTATTAATACCCTCGATGCCTTACTACTAGAGGAATTAGAAGGCTAAGCCTTCGACGCTTACGTTTAGAAGCGTAAAACCCTTATAGATCTCCTTGCCTCCTTTAAGAGCAAGATCACTATTAAAAGGAAGAGGGCAGAGACCGTCGACGAGACCGCAAGTCCCGCCGGCGCCTCGTAGGTACCTCTAGGGCCTCTAAGAGACCCCTTAATTAAGCTCTTTAAGAAAGATCCTCCCGAGCTTCTTACTATAAACAACTAAGCTTTTCTTAAGTAGGCCTAAGTATACGAGGCCCGCTTCTTCTATATAAATTGCACCGATCGAGATAGTACTAGACGTACTCTATAGGCGACTAGCAAGGTTAAACTAGTAGAGATTACTACTACCGTTAAACGGCGTATCTAATCGTATATAGAAAACTATACTAAGTTTAGATAGTCCGAGTGCAAAGAACTTATTAAAGACACTATTAGGCCTCCGGCTATATAGCGAGCCGAGAATACTATGTCCTACTAGGGTGCTATATACTACGCTAATTAACTAGTAATAAAGTTCTACGCCTATATAAAAAAGGTCGAAAGCTAAATCGAGTATAGTTTTCCTAAAGATAGATCGTATAAAACTATACGTATCGACTTCTATTATACTAAGCTTCTAAAGGACATCTAAGTAGAGATTATCCGCATTAATAAGCTAATTTCGTTTTAGACCGTTAATAATCTCTTTAACGAGGCATACCGTATCGAAGACTCGGAGTCTATAAAGAAGAAAGATACCGCTAAGAATACTCGCAATTCCGGCGGGTCTTCTAAGCAAGTATCTAGTTCTAGAACCGACACCCCTCCTAGTACCTTATAGGTACCTCTAAGGGGCCCTAGGGGTAGAGGTAGCGGTCGGGGTTAGTTTAGAAACTATAGCCGAGGCTAAGCCTAGGGCGGATTAGTAAACCTAACCTCTAATTCCTCCGCTAGAGATAGCTAAGCCTCTACCGGTTCGGAAAACACGAAGCCCTAGTCGCTTCCCTTTCCTTACTACGACTAGAGCCTAATACTAGAGGAAGAGAACGACGTATTATCGTCGACGTTAAGGTGCCTTATAAGGGCCTTACGCGCACCCTTAAGGCACTAATCGATTGTAGTACCTAAATTAACCTTATCTCTTAGTATATAGCGAAAGTCCTAGACCTAGTGCCGCTAGATCTAGTCCCTCCGAAAGTTACTTTCCTCGACAATAATCGTATAACGATCTATAAGGCTTACTCCCTCTCTCTAATAGTAAAGGATAAGACGGGTACCGAGCGTACTATCCCTTAAACCTTTTAGGCTAGGACCTTTACCGGATACGATATAGTTTTAGGATAGGACTAGCTCGCCGATACTAATCCTCTTATCTCTTTCCGAAAGGGAACCTTTATCTAGAACCCGATTACCGGAGACCTAGAGGACTACTTTAAGGCGCCTAATAAGCCCCTCGGAGACTCCTACGAGGTCCTTATAAATAATCCTATCTGTCGTATTCTTATAGCAATCGTTAACGGATCGGCTACCTTCTAGCTTAAAGATAGCCGGTATATTGTTAGACCCGAAACTACTAACGAAGGACTACTAGGTAACACTCCTAACGTCGCTAGTGCCTCGGAGGTACCTCTAGACTACCTCTATACCCCGGTAGTAGAGGCTCTTACAACCCTCTCTACCTAAGGAGGAGGTAACCGCGATCCTACTACTATCGATTGCAGTTAATAAGATCGTTAGTAGATCGGGGCACTTATTACTTATTCTAGGTTTAAAACCCTTTGCGACCCTTACCCTAAATTAGCTTCGCTTCCTAGCTCTATCTATTAGTATACTATTATCGCTGCTACCGAAGTTTATTAAGAAGTACCCGAAGTATTTAAAGACTACGTTAATGTCTTTAATACCGACCTTGCTAGCATTATTCCTTAGCATTCTTAGTACGACTATACTATTAAACTAGAAGTAGGTAAAGTTCCTCTATAACTTCCTATTTATAACCTCTCGTAGGACGAATTGAAGACACTCCGCGAATATATCGATTAGGCTCTAGCTAAAGGCTAGATCCGGCCTAGTAAGTCCCTATATAGTGCACCTATCCTCTTTGTCTCTAAGAAGGATAGTAGTGTTCGTCTATATATCGACTATCGTAGCCTTAATAAGATTACTATTAAGGACCGCTATCTGTTACTACTTATTAGTAAGCTTCTCGATCGGCTTAGTAAGGCTAAGATCTTCTCTAAATTAGACCTTAAAGATACCTATTATCGTCTTCGTATTCGCGAAGGAGATAAATAGAAGACGGCTTTTAAGACTCGTTATAGACTATTCGAGTATCTCGTTATACCGTTTAGCCTAGCTAATGCCCCTACTACTTTCTAATTATACATTAATTAAGCCCTAGTAGGAGTAGTTAATCGCATCTACGTAGTCTACTTAGACGATATCTTAATCTATTCTAAGAACCCTAAAGAGTATAATAAGTATATCCGGATAGTTGTAAGAAGGGTTATATTAGTAGGTAGATAGGGTAGTAGTAAATTAGTATAGTATTCGATAAGGATCTAGGAGGAGAGGGAGGAAGGTAGGAGAGTTGACCTAACGCTAAGCGCTAAGCCCTGCCTAAGGCATCAAGACCCTAGCTTCACTCGGCCTAGTTATATACTAATTACATATAGCCTCTTTAGCCCTAATATACGCTTCCCTTCTAAAGGCCGCGCCCTCGTAGCCTGTCTATATTCTAATCTCGACCTCTATTGCTACTAACTTAGCAGATCTAATAAGCTACCTAGCCGCGCTAAATTAAATACTTAACCACCTAATTATATAACTATGTCAAACCTTACCTTCTAATACAATGTCTAACTCTAACTGCGCTATCCTTATATACAATAAAGTAATATATAACTACGAGAATTAAGGACTATCGACTAATTATAATACGAGCGCGTCTTCCCTACTATAATAGGTAGACGTACGAGGTATTATAGCACTGCCTCCGCTCTAAGTAATGTCGTTCCGAGTTCTTTGCGTCTACTCTAAAAGACCTAGCAATATCCGCTTCCGAGGGTTTGTCCGCTTCCGAGGGTTATTATTCTTGTTATTACAAGGACTATTATTTACTATCGTAGTTTTACTAGCCCTAATTAGTTAGGTTTAGTAGCCTTTAATTATTAATCTTATCTTATCTTTTAAAAAATACAGCTCGTCTAGTTTCTATAGGTAAAGGCTATTATAAGTATAGTAGTAGAGGTTCGCCTCGCTTAAAGGGTTAGATAGATCGAGGAGTAACCTATTGTCC